AGAGATGATTCAGTTCATCACTTGCGTGTGTGGGCCAGCAAATCACTGACTTTCACATAAAACAACACAACGTTCTGATGGTATTTCTCCCGAGGAGAGGCTGCTGGGACGACCTCTTGACTCCAACCAATAAGATGTCGCTCTAAGCCAACAGAGAGCTGGGAAATAATTTCCTTTTTGGGATTCTCTTGAGATCGTCAGCTTTCAGTCCCTGCTACGACACCAGGACTCATTTAGTCGATGTCCGGGTGAAAGAAATTTCTGCCTTTGACGTTTCTTTCGGATCATTTTCAACAGGAAGCAATGCAGTCCTGGGAAATGTCTGGGATCAACCAAGAAACGAGCCAACGGTCACATCTATGCCGTCCGAATATTTAGAATATGTGACAACTGTTGAAAAAAAATGACAAGTCGCAATATCGATTTTAAAACGACTTCCTTCTGCACAAAGCTGATATCCTTATAACCATGTAGGCGTTTTATTTGCGTTTCCACAAAAAGAAGAGGAGTTCATAGATTCACCTTGCGCTTGGCTCAGTAACCGAGGCCCGTGTGTCCTGCATCGGCCACGCTGCTGCAGTGATTGATGACAAATCCACATGCAGCGTCATGTCATTTGGTCAAAGTTAAATGCGGAAGGTGACCCTGGCGAGAGTTTAGCACCTCCTGATCGTACACTCTCGCCAGAATGCAGAGTCTCAGGGAGCCTCGTGTTTTGCGTCTCCGGCAGTAGGGGGGGGGGCATGCATATTAATGAAATGTAGTCATGTCACCAGAGGGCACTAATGTTCTTTTAATTTTGATCATGGCTGCACCTCTTTTGAGATTAAATTTGAGTTGACAACTGCTTTTAATGGGAGCACTGATTAATTTCAGTACCTCGTGCCTGTTCTAGAAAACAGTGTGATTAGATGGGCCTGCGTGATACTTTCTGCTTTGCAATGTGAAGCATTTATCTTCTTGAAGGCTGTTACAGACTCTAAGTGGTGTCTAAATGACAAGCAGATACTTCAAAAGTGACATTTTGCGGACTAAGGTGCAAAAAAATAAATTGCAGTGGGTGTTTTACAAAGGCACGTGCACGTTTTATCAACGAGCTCTTTAAATGGTGACATAAATACGCACTCCTGTTGCTCTAAACCGCAATAACAATTTGTCCTGTGATCTGTTGAAGAACATCTTAAAGTCTAAGTGCAGAAAATGATTAGGAAGAGTTATATGAACATGAATTAAGTCCTCCAGGCCCAAAGGAGGACTTGCTTGCTGGTTTTCCACCCTCCACAGGCTCCTTTTTCTCCTCCTGCTGCCTCGCCTCACCTTACCCCCCCCACTCCTCTTCTTTCTCCTCACTGGACTTTAGACCACTTTCATCCTCTTTCCTCTCATTTGGCCTGGAACTGTAGGCCTGCCCCCTCACACAGCCCACCGATCAGCCTCACCTTAACCGTGTGGTTGCTCAATCTGTTTTCCTGTGTGTGTCTGTGTGTGTTTCTCACACTCTTTGGTCTTTTTCTCCTTCTGCCTGTCGTCATTCTCCCTCTTCTGCACCCCCTGTCTGCTTTGGGGATGACTTCCCCTTCAGTGGGGCAGTGTCAGGGGGGCAGAAGGGGGTTGCAACTGGGCAGGGGGATGCTGGGGGGGGTCCTTATCGCAGTGACAGCATGAAGAACATGGCAACGGAAGGAGTGAAGATCGGGAGGTGGCAGACCATCCATGGCCACATGCCGTCCGGAGCACCGAGACCCACCAAGTGAGTTCAGAACCGAACCTGAATCCTTTCAAACACACTGTTTCTGTTCCACAAAACAAACACCGGCATCATGCAAAGGGTTATTACAGCCCGCTCCATCACATGAGTTGGTCTGTCTGTTAGCAAAATATTTTATAAAACAGGGTCGATTTGAACGAAACCCTCAGAAAGTGACCAACGGATGTGGACATCTACAGCTGATTACCTTTAAAGTTAACTTGATTCAAAATGGCCTCACAGTCGCTCAAACGTATCAAAGACAAACATGGATAAAACTTAGTGAGTTCTGCAGAAATTAAGCTCAAATTTGGTGTGGTAGTAGCTGAGAGTTATCCCCATCACATAATCCAAACCAGAGTTGCGTTCGAGCTTAAGAAATCCGACCCGGCCCGGCCCAAACCGTATCATTTTTTCTTTGCCCTACCCCAAACCATTTAACTGTGATTACAGACCCGGGTCTGAAAATAAACCCAACATTTTTTTAAAGCTTTTACTGCTTTTGTAAGCAAATCAGTTTGACATGATTTAAAAATGTATTTCAAAGAAAGGAAGATATAAGATTTCTTGTTTATTAACAAGAGTCAGCAGATTATTATAGTTATTATAATATTATAGTTATTATAGTTATTATAATATTATAGTTATTATAGTTATTATAATATTATAGTTATTATAGTTATTATAATATTATAGTTATTATGATATTATAGTTATTATAGTTGTTATAGTTATTATAATATTATAGTTATTATAGTTATTATAATATTATAGTTATTGTGATATTATAGTTATTATCATTATTATGATATTATAGTTATTATAATATTATAGTTATAGTTATTATAATATTATAGTTATAGTTATTATAATATTATAGTTATTATAGTGGTTATAGTTATTATGATATTATAGTTATTATAATATTATAGTTATTATAGTTATTATGATATTATAGTTATTATAGTTGTTATAGTTATTATAATATTATAGTTATTATAGTTATTATAATATTATAGTTATTGTGATATTATAGTTATTATCATTATTATGATATTATAGTTATTATAATATTATAGTTATAGTTATTATAATATTATGTTATAGTTATTATAATATTATAGTTATTATGATATTATAGTTATTATGATATTATAGTTATTATAGTGGTTATAGTTATTATGATATTATAGTTATTATAGTTATTATAATATTATAGTTATTGTGATATTATAGTTATTATCATTATTATGATATTATAGTTATTATAATATTATAGTTATAGTTATTATGATATTATATTTATTATGATATTATAGTTATTATAATATTATGGTTATTATGATATTATAGTTATTATGATATTATAGTTATTATCATTATTATGATATTATAATTATTATAGTGGTTATAGTTATTATAATATTATAGTTATTATGATATTATAGTTATTATGATATTATAGTTATTATCATTATTATGATATTATAGTTATTATAATATTATAGTTATAGTTATTATAATATTATAGTTATTAACAGTTGGCGGACGCGAGCAGCTGCGTGCATCCTCTGATGCAATTAAAAGCCCGACACCGACCTGGCCCGCCCATCCAGCACATTATTTTGGCCCGGCCCAAATTTCGGGTTCGGGCCAGGCGTGGGCCTGGGTTAGAAATGACCGCTCTTCTCCAAACACTAACAGATTGCACAAAACCACTGTTTAAAACTAACTATGTAGAATCAACTCTGTCTGTTAGCAAAATATGACCCACTGTACGGATTTTATTGAAATTTTCATGAAAAAAATCATAGTCTGATCTTCCACTGATCACTTTTGGAGGTCAGTCCAAATCACGATGGTCACCACAGCCCTTACAAACACAAATATGAACATATCTCATTCAAATGTGCAGTTATTGAGTTCAAATCTGGTGTGGTATTAGCTCTAACTCATCCAGCTTCAACAAATCGCACCAGATCTCTGTTCAAAAACGTTTAAATTCATAGCGGGGGACGTGACGCATACGAGGAAGCATCTGTGATTACATGAAGGAAGTTACTCTGAGGAGGAACATGGAGAGCTGAAGCAAACAGGGAGGGAGTTGCAGATGAGAAGGTGAGCGTGTGGATCCAGATGAAGGTGTTAGCACCGGGGAAATGTAAGCTGTCATCAGCAGCAGAAGGTAGCTTTAGTTGCGAGAGCAGGAGCACGCTGACTTAACTCGTCAGCCGACACCGGCAGCCCAGCAACGAGGCGAAGCTGCAGGAGAGCGTGATTTATTCATTGGAGAAACTCAGCGGCCTCATTTAAAACAAAAAGTTTTTAAAAAAGGAACACAGAAGTAGCCTTAATTTCTCCGTCTAACTAAAATAAATCTCGCACTCGTTTCCAGTTCAGTTTTTAATGAAAGTTTATGAATGTTGTTCACCGACTTCTTGAAGCCGTGACGTAATGTTGGATCTATAATCAAGATGCTGTGAATGAGGCGAAGAAATACTTTGATTTTTTTCACCTTTCACTGACACTTCGTGCTGCGACTTCTTCCTCCTCAACACATTTACGCTTTCACTTCCTCCTTTTCTCCTCCCATCTTATTTCCCCTCCTTGTCTGTAATTGGATTCTATTTTCAGTCTTCTATAAGTGTCTGCGTCTCTTGTGTTTGTGTCTCGCACCCCATTTTCTGTCTCTCCTCCATCGTCACCCTCTGTTCCTATCACTCCCATCACTCTCTCCATCTCTTTGTCACTCTCTACTACAAACCACTTTACTTTTGCTCTTCCTTCATTCTTTTATTTGTTATATATGATGGATATGACACAGAAAGCCTCGTGCAAAACTGTGTTAGATGAGGTGGAGTAAACTGCACCTAACTGGCATAAATAGCTCTCCCATGACCTATTTCTTGTACTCTGGGTTACACGGCGATCCAAGAGAGGATGATATATTTAGTGTGCAGACAAATAACAAAAAAAGAGACAAGAGGTAAGCATGTAAAGAAACGTTAATTGCATCGAAGGACCTGTCACATGCTTTCATGTGTCATTTTAAGAAGGGCAGTTAGCCAGTTAAGCTGCCTTTTTGGTGGGGAGGAGTGGAAACTGAGAGATTGACAGAGGGAGGGAGTTGAGCTATAAAAGATGGTTGGCTGTGGGATCTCTCAGGAGGTTCAGCAAGTATTTAAAAGGCCAAACTTACTTAGAGAGGAAAGAGTCTGTCAGAGATGGACATGTTGACCGGTGTGTAGAGGGAATGGGGATCTCTCGTCACACCAAAAGGCCTTCATCGGGAAGGCTCGGCAGCTGCAAAACGACAACACACGCGCCTCGAGGAGTTAGCGTGGCTCAGAACCGCTCCACGCCCGTCCGGACAGTCAACATCCGGCCGCTGCCACTTCGAACCACGCCCGCATTCAAAAAACACGCTCACATTGCGCTGCCATGCAAGACGCGCTCACGTCTGACGCACACGAGCAGCTCCCAGACTGCACCGTGCTGCTGGCCGCAGCCCCCCGAGCCGCACGCAGCACACAGCCATGCACACTCAGGCTGCACCTTCTACTGCTATTTCTGCTACTGCTGTTACAGCTGTTGCCTCACGTTCATTTCTTTTTCTCTCCTCCTCCTCCTGTCTCCACCTCCCAACGATCCGTCCTCCGATTTGACCTCGAACTCCACCGCTTCCTCCTCTCCCCTCCCACAACCTTCGACTTCCTGTTTGGGTGACCTGTCCTGTTTCTGTCCTGATGTCAACCTGACTTCTTCCCTCCACTGCTCTGACGTGTCCTCACCTCCCTTCACCACGTCCTCTCCTGTCCGAACCTCCTCATCTTGCTCCTCTTCCACACCACCTTCCACACCTGCCTCCCCTCCACAAAATTCGATCCTCTGCCGGCCCTGGCCTTCTACACGCTCTCTTTCCTCCCTGCTCCTCTGCCCTCCCAGCTTTGGGGATCCGGCGCTGTCCTACGCCTCCGTTCTGGAGCACATCCCCTCTGGGCCGGCCCGGCCTCGGACGCTGTTGCGCCAGCAGAGTCTTCAGCAGCCTCTCATCCACTCATCAGGCCCGGGTCTCAGCCACCACCCGCCCACTACGTCTCAGAGTTTGGGACAGTTGCACACTGCGCCCGGACAGCCTGGGGTGGGTGCCAGGAGAGGAGAGGGAGGTGGCAGCAGTGGCGAGGGTGGAGGTGCAGGTACGAGAGGCGGCACCCGAGGCGCTCGGGCCAGCCAAGCGGGAGCAGCTACCTCTCACTGTAGGGGAGGTGGCGCAGGAGGGAGGTCGCGGGCCAATCCTGGCAGCTGGGATTACATGATGGACCAGATCAAGAACCGAGGCCTGGATGTCAAATCCTTCCTGTAAGTCTCAAATATCTTCGTTTGTGTCCTAACCGGGTCTCTGTTCAGTCGTAGCCTCTGTCTGTCTTATTGTATATTCTGTGCTGTTCAGAGACACTTCATGCATTTGTGTAATGATAGTTTTAAAGTGTAATGCTTAACAAACACAACAGTGACATTTAAATACAAACTAACCTGCATTTAAATGGATATAGACAGTTTCTTTTCCTTCAGGTGTTTCATTGATTTATTTATAGATTCTTCAAATCAATTTGCATCTGATATCCAGGGAAGGATATTATTACGCGTTACCTGCTAAAACAGGCGTGTTTGCGCTCGTACAGGTGTGTTGACGTGAACGATGAAGTGTGTTTTAGAGCTGAGTTTAGTTATTATTAATTTCATTTTAACTTCTGGAACATAAAGTGTGAGAAGAAAACATGTTTTATTTACAGTCACAAAGAGTTAAAAGAGTTCACGTTGCAGCTGATTATGGTAATTTAAGATAATGAAGAGGCAGTAAATGAGCTTATACAAAACAAAGTCATTAAAACTAATAGGCATAGAGTTATAAGTGTAAATAAGCTGTTATCTTTTAGCTTTAAGTCGTATTAAATATAAATTTTTGTCTTTATGAAAATGCACACCAGGTACTAAAACAACAGGTCACATTGGTTTATTAGATTTAATTGTCAACGTTTGGCTTCCCTTCCTAAACGAACGCTTTAATTCCTCTTAAAGCAATTATCGCTGCCATTCCTTAATAAGAATACACGACGCCGTGGCCTTAATGAGCTGTAATAAAGTACAAAGCTTTTTATTGAGCAATCTGTGAAACAGAAAAAGGAGACAGAAGCAATAAATTCTATTTTTAGACAGCGACGTGCATGAGAAATGGCGAGGAGGTGCGACATATTGCGGGCTACTTCTGTCCCGTTCTGTTGGAGGATTGTTAAACGGTTACGCTGCATGCTCTGTTAAACAGCAACATCTGTTTCGATGGCGTCCGGCCTGTCTGCTGCAGTTGTCGTTACAGAACAGAACTAATGGTGCTCCATGATATTCCTGAGTTGGTGCTGTCGTTGATTTTTGACTGTTCCTGTTTTGGAGAGGCGTTTCTGTTTATGCTCCGTGAGCATTTCCAGCAAAAACTGCATCGGTTTTGTTTTATTGTAACTTTTAGAGAAAAAAATCCCTGTGGACACATCTAGGCATGTCGCTGTGCATCAGTGTGAGAGCAGTGTTGAAGCAGCTGCGTGCAGGTTTGGGTTTTCTCTGATGCATTGATCTTGCCACCATGCAGCACCATTACTTCTGCAACATATTGTTGCTCCGTGCTTGGAGGAGGTGGGGAGGCTGGATAAGGGAGACAAGAGGGCTGGTGAGGGGACAGATGAGCAAGGACACTGTCAAGGTACAGCATGTGCTCAGTGTGCACTGAATCAGTTTTACAGTGGCTGTTCACCACTCATTTCACTTCCTTTATGCGCGCTGAAGCTTCTCGGGGCGTCATAGCTGAACTGATGCCGCCAGCTAACCCTGCGATGCAGCGCACCATGCAAAGCACCAAGGTCACCGACAATATGCCGGCCATAATGTTATGGCCAGCCATATTGTCGGCCATAATGCTCATCATCGTAAATGTGAATTCCAGGTCATTGTTGATGTATTTCCTTCTCTGCAACATCAACACCTTGAATGATTGATGACAGAAAGTGGGGACGGTAATAGACATGACCCATTGCTCAAGACACTTAATTTCAATCTTGGCCCACGTTCCCTGTTTGGTGAATCATTGCCTAATGAAAGTGTGGATGCCATTGGTGCAGGTCTCTTGCCTTTGGAGAACTTTGACTAAATGGATTACTTTGGGGATTGGTCTTTGCTCTTTTTTTGGCTCAAAATCAATAATTTATCTCGGCTGCATTGATGTCTCTCCCCTCGCTCGCCTGTGCTTCTTTCACGTTAGCTGCGCTGAGAGAGGTGCTTTAACAAGAGTCCTCTGTGTAAATGTTCGTACTTAAAAGGTAATGGGATAGAAGTGCGATCCGATACCCGTTATATTTACGGTGTTGACGTATGCACCGTATCATTTTGCCTAAAGCGGGGATTCTTAATGAGTGAGAACTTGTTCACAATTAGATCCAGTTAGGAGCACTTCTATAGCTTCTGTTATCCTTAAAGCAAAACATTTCATTTTCTGGTACAATATGAACCTACAGTACTGACTCACAGCTCACAGAAATCGTATAAAATACAACAATTATATTATATTTAGCCCTAACTGCTGCAAAAACATGAAAGCAGAGGTTTAAATAGATGAGAAATATACTGATTTATGAGGTTCATTGTAAAATGGCTTGTTATAAACACTTGTTTATGTCAACCGGCAACAGCTGGGGTCAGTTTCTACAACTTTTATTTTGTGGGTCAGAATTCACTGGACTGAATCCTAAACCTGGGGGCGGCTGCAGAGGTGATAATGAGCTGAGTTAAAGGTGGTCAACAAAGCAACGTGCACGGAACTTAATACAGTTTCAGTGTCATGGAGGTATGGGACCAGGTAATTCAGACATACTCGAGGAGCTCAATAAAACAAACCATAACTTTATTTAAACAGAACACAAAAAGCTGACGAGGTGGCAACGTAGTAGAACGAAGACAGAGTCGTCACTGACGAGAACCGGAGCGACACTGGCACGTGAAAGTGTTTGATGCTGCACTGACTTCCAGACAGACTGAGTCGTTTTGGCAAAAGGTGGATGAGGGAACAAGGAACAGCTGCACAGGACTCAGGTGTGGGTGGGCGTGGCAGGGCTGAGGAACAGGATCCACACAGAGGAAGGCCGAACATAAAGTGACTGAAAACTCATGGGAGAAAAACTGATGGAGATCTAAACTGAAGCTGTAAAATAGCACTGGAAAAAGATCAGACAACACATGTAACAGGCCTAACCTGATCTAAAACACAAAGAACCATCAAGACTAATCAAAATACAATAGTCCCTCACTTATCGTGGGGGTTACGTTCCAGACACCCCCACGATAGGTGAAAATTTGCGAAGTAGGGATATTATAGTTATTTTAGTACTTATATATATTTTAAGACTTTATAAACCCTTCCCACGCTCTTGCAATGTTCTAAACTTTTAAATCTAAGTAATTTAAAAAACATATATGTACTGTACAGTACTGCTAAATTTTATAAAGGTACTCACCATGAAGATACTACAACTTGAAGGATGAGTTCAGCTTCAGGATTATTTACGACTTTCTTGCCAGTTTTGGGAGCTTCATAGATACATCGTTACTTCTGATTTTATGTTGTAAAAGTTACCACATTGGTTTCTCCGCTAGTGTTTGCTCCCTCCATTGCTGTTCTTTGAATTTCAGCCAAAAGCAGTGGCCAGAAGCACTGTTGGCTTCTGGGCCGTGTAGTTCTTTTGACTTGCGTTACAGTATAGGCTTATTGGAAGAAAACTACAAAATGGCGGTGCCTGTCTGAAGTATTATAATTTTTTTGCTCCTGTTAACTTTTTATCTCGTACTGTCCCAATCACGTAATATTAAAGTTGACAGTCGTGTGTCATGTACAATCTTACGTTGAAAACCTGCGAAAGAGCGGGTCTGTGAAAGTCAAACCGCGACGTATTGCGGGACTACTGCACAGATCTTAACATTTAGAAGCTGTGCACAAGTAAGTTGGAGTTTCAACAATTGTCTTGCTGGTTGCTTGCTCACAAAGACTCGCATGTCAGTGGGACTGCAGTGAAGAAATTGCCTTTTTTCCTCTAAATTTTCTTGCATTTTTAAGGTGCCAACTTTCTTAACTGGACGTGTTGGAGTTTAGAGGACAGACATGCCGCTTAAATTTAAAGGTCTAAACTGGAGAAAGAGCTTAGCAAGACTTTTCACTCACACACACACAAAAAGAAAGAAACATATTTTGATAATTGTAAATGGACAAACTAACAAATCTATGTTTTGTTTTTTACTTAATTATGAAAAATCCTGTTGAGGTAAAGATTAGTTGTAGATCTTAATTTTTACTTCCTGTTTCTGTTCACAAACACTTCTGACTTCATGTTTGCCACAAGCAAACAAGCACAGCTCAGTCCCATTGATTTCAAATCATCGTCTTGATTTTCACAACTTTTAAATTCTGGGCCTTTAGAGCTTGATCATTGATTATTGCTATTTTTGAGGCAACGTCTAGGAAATTAGTTATTTCTTTCTAAAAGTAAGCGCACTATATTTCTGTGCACGCCCCTTGTTATCACACCGCTCTGCTTGCTGCAGGTCCTGAACAATTTAAACTTTTTTTAGTTGTTTTCTCTCATCAATCTAGTACAAGTTGATGAGTTTTATACCTGATTGAGATGTTCATCTGTTTTTTGGGGGCCATGTCTAATTTGGCCTCCCTCTTCACGTAATGATATGCCTTCCTCTTAGAGAATAATGTTCACTTGTCTGAACACTACACAGAGGCTTTCTCCTCACCTGCAAATGATCCTGTGATTATCCACCACTGCTGTCTTCAGCAAACGTTTATATTGCTCTTGATTTAGCCACTCCGTCAACTCCATTTATTCTTTCATTTTTACTGATCAAGACGGCATCTTTTGGGAGCTTATTCTTTTTTTAACTGGAAATTGTAGCTTCGCTCTAATGGCTTCCAAACCAACATATCAGCTCCAAACCTTTTACCTGTTTAAGCGACGAAGGACATAATGAAGAAATCGCCTTTGCCTGCACACGGAATGGCTTTGAAATCAATTATCCTATTTCATGTGCTTCCTCGAAAACCAGGGGGCTTCAATTTAAAAATTTAGCTTATAAACCTTCCCCTTAATTTGTATGTGAACACCCTCAAATTAAAGATGAAAGCCTGCACTTATGGCCGGCACCCATGACACAAGGAATATATAAATGCAACTCCGTGCTTTGATGAACGGTTAAAACAGGAAAACAAACACATGCGGCTAAACACGACGAGGAAATAAAATGCTCCACTGAAGACG